TGAAGCCTTATTGGAACGTCAAGAAAAACGTTTCGAATAGTTTCAGATGCGCATGATAGAAACACTAACCCAGAAAATGAACCTGAATCAAAAAGAAGTTGCAGATGATCCCTTCAAATCTCATGTTGACCACATCATCGATTCTATCCATGAATTTAACTTCGATGCTTCAGCTGGTATTACTTTTGAAACCTGGTTCAACAAATATGAAGATTTGTTCAAGGTCGACCTCAAAAAACTTGATGACGCCGCTAAGATCAGAATACTCTTACGAAAACTTGGAACTGTTGAACATGAACGTTACAGTAACTTTATCCTTCCAAAGAATCCAAGAGATTTTTCTTTTGATGCAACGATCGAAACTTTGTCGCAAATATTCGCTGAACAGTCATCTTTGTTTAATATTCGTTATCAATGTCTTAAGATAACAAAAGCAGTTGACGACATTCTTCGAGGCCCTATCTCAAGAAATACAGACATAATGCACTAACTAACAAAGTATTGGTATCACATAATCGAGCACGAATTTGCCGCCGACGAAAATATGTGAACGTAGATATAAATAAAAAGCGTGCCCGCCTGCAGCTCGATACTGCTTCCGACATCACACTTATCAGTCGAAGAACCTGGAAACTTATCGGAAAACCACAGGTGCTACCGACAACCCAGTTAGCTCATAGCGCTTCTGGAGGAAAGTTGAACAGTTTTGGAGAGGTTTGTTGCACAGTTTCAAAAGGAAACGCGAAGACAAAGGCAACACTATATCTCACAGAGAACCCAGGACTAGATTTGCTGGGTCTAGACCTATTAGAAACACTACAATTAACAAATAACTCCATTAACCACATATGCAGCGCTGTAAGAACCAGTAAACCAGTTGAGAAGGATCTGAAGAATGTTGTGTTAGAAAGACATAGTCAAGTGTTTACAGAAGAATTGGGGGAGTGCAAAAGGGCAAAAGCAGTACTGATCCTTAAACCGGGAATTACCCCAGTCTTCAGACCAAAACGTCCTGTACCTTATGCAGCGTTACCTATTGTTGAGCAAGAACTAGAGCGTCTGCAAAGTAGTGGAATAATAGAACCAGTGAACTTTTCCGATTGGGCAGCACCAATAGTGATTGTCAAAAAGCCAAATGGAAGTATCCGGCTATGCGCAGATTATTCGACTGGATTAAACGAAGCGCTTGAAGTCCATCAATACCCTTTGCCAGTACCAGAAGATTTATTTGCGAAACTGAATGGGGGTAAGTATTTTGCAAAATTAGACCTGTCAGAAGCTTATCTACAGATTCCAGTAGCGGAAGAATGTAGGCATTACCTGACAATAAACACTCATAAAGGATTGTTCCAATATAACAGACTTCCTTTTGGAGTAAAAACCGCCCCTTCAATCTTCCAACAAGTTATGGATACTATGTTGCAAGATATTCCTGGTACTGCGGCCTGTCTCGATGACATACTGATCATGGGTACAGACTATGCTGACTTAGAGAGTAAGGTGGACACGGTGCTTAGACGCATAGCAGATTATGGGTTCAGGTTGCGTGCTGAAAAATGTGACTTTCACATGGAGCAAGTCCGTTATTTGGGATTCATAATCAATAAAAACGGGAGAAAACCTGATCCTGAAAACGTTGAAGCCATCAAGTCCATGTCCCCACCGACAGATGTATCAACTTTACGTTCTTTCTTGGGAATGGTTAGTCATTATGGCGTCTTCCTTCCAGATCTGCATCGCCTTCGTGCTCCACTTAATTGCTTACTGAAAAAGGATACCAAATGGTTCTGGTCAACCGAATGTCAAGAAGCATTCCTAAAACTAAAGCAGCTTCTATCATCAGACCTTCTACTTACACATTATGACCCAGATCTTCCAATTATAGTCGCGGCAGATGCGTCAAATTATGGAATCGGAGCTTTAATTTCACATACCTATCCTGACGGGTCTGAGAAGGCAATCGCCCACGCAGCGAGATCATTGACTATGACTGAAAGAAACTACAGTCAGATTGAGAAAGAAGCTCTCTCCATCACATTCGCTGTAAAAAGTTCCACAAGGTGCTGTTTGGCAGACAGTTCACCTTACTAACAGACCATAAACCGCTACTGACAGTTTTCGGATCTAAAAAAGGTATCCCGGTTTATACAGCAAACCGTTTACAGAGATGGGCAACTACGCTACTGGGTTATGATTTCAAAATAAAGTATCAACCAACAACCGACTTCGGACAGGCAGATGCCCTCTCAAGGTTGATTGATTCGCATGCAAAACAAGAAGAGGACGTGCTTGTAGCTGCCATAGAAGTCGAGGCTGAAGTTCACAAAGTATTAACAGACGCAGTTTCCGGACTCCAGGTAACATTCGAAGCCATTAAAGAAGCTAGCAAGAAGGATAATACATTGAAGATTGTTCACCGCTGCATACTCAACAAGTGGCCTTCATCTAGACTACGTGGCGAGCTCTTACAATATTTTCGTCGACGAGATTCCTTAACAGTTGTCGACTCGTGCATCATGTTTGGCCACCGTATCGTTATCCCTAGAAGTCTTCGGCACCAAGCCATTAAGCAGTCTCACAGCGGGCACCCGGGGGTAAGTAAAATGAAATCACTAGCTCGCAGCTATGCATACTGGCCGACAATGGACCGTGATATAGAACAAAAATGTCGCAGTTGTTGGTCCTGTCTAGAGGCTGCGAAGAATCCAACAAAAGCTGAACCACAACCATGGCCAAAACCGGACGGGCCTTGGCAAAGAATACACGCCGATTTTGCCGGACCAATACAAGGCAGAAATTACTTAGTTGTTGTCGACGCTTTTACAAAATGGCCAGAAGTATATGATATGCTGAAAACGACATCAGACAGTACAATAAGAAGATTGTCAGGATTGTTTGCTTGTTTTGGGGTCCCAGAGATTTTAGTGACCGATAACGGCACTCAGTTTATGTCATCAGCTTTCAAACGCCTTTGCAGTGAAAATGGCATATCGCATCTACAATCTCCTCCGTACCATCCTCAGTCGAATGGCCAAGCAGAAAGATTCGTGGATACGATAAAAAGAGCTCTGGTAAAGGGGAGAGGTGAGGGTATCCCAGAACAAGTGATCACTAAGTTCCTAATGTCTAACAGAGTTACCCCCAATCCGGCAGTACCAGAAGGAAAGTCACCAGCCGAGTGTGTGTTCGGGAGGAAAATTCGCACAGTCTTCAACAGTATGTTGCCACCTAGAAAGACAATAAAACCGATGAATGAGTATCGTACGATCACTCGTAGCTTCCAGGTGGGTGAAAGGGTACTTGTCAAAGCCTATCAAGGTAATAGGAGATGGGAACCAGGTGTCATAGAACGTCGAATCGGAAATGTACTGTACCTAGTCCGGAAGGGTGTCGGAAAATGCATAAGACACATAAATCAAATGCAAGGAGACAGCAGTACAATGGTCCCAGGAAGCCGGCTCCCATTTCAATTGCTCGTGGATTCACCTCAGAAAAGCCATCATGAGCGCAAACATAGAGGGGGCAAACGACGCAAGGGAAAAGTTGTACAACCCCCGAGAGTGATGGACCGTAAGAGGAATGCGGCCACAAGGTTCCAGTTGGATCCGAGAAAGAAGTCTTGCACAACGGACTTTAAAGGAGGGAGGTGTGACGACGGACCACGGGTGAACTCGAGGAAGCTATAAGAGGCTCAGAAGGAGCCGAAGATATTCCATCCAATCACCGTTAGGAAGGATATTCTAGAATCCCTACGTGTAGCTTCCCGATTGGACAAGGCTAATAACCCCCTGTATGCGGATTGGAGGACTATAATGATGATTTTTGTTCTTACTAAAACTATAAATACCTGACAATTTGTACCCATAATTGACACTGTTTGGAATAACATTCCTTTCACTAGTCTTCTGTCTTCTCTTTGCGACTTGGAAGGGTTTGGGCGTTCGTGTGTTCAGTTGTACGCGTTATATCAAGTAAATCAACCATTTCTAGATATAACAGCTAGCTAGGACAATACAAGTCAAGAATGATGCATTATTCACCGAAACTGTACGTAGTACAACTCACATCATTCTTTTAGCATAATGTACTTTTACAACTCAATGCCTAATCTATATACAGTTTTATTACTAGCAAGTTTATTATATTTAGTCACCGTAAATTCCCAACAAAGCTTAAATTGTGGGTGTCAAGTTTTTTTCGATATTGTAAGGAATAGAGCAAGTCTGGGATTTATTGAACGTTGGGTTAAATAGACGAGTGAGAGCATGTACTTACTGGTTTTGTGAAATAAATCTATGAGTTTGAAAGAGAAGAATTCCGTAGTTTAACCGCATTCTTGTTTAGTTTGTTCATGAATATATAAATTAATTATAGCATAGCGAAATTTGTGGATGGAATGATACAGCACTTAGTATGGCTGAGTGGGAAAAATACTTTCTGAAAGCATCTATTGTAAAAATGTTAAAAAAACAAAATTTTATCACTATAATTTGAAAACGGACATGGTGAGCCAATCAAAAGTAGCCAAATGAGGTCAATCGATGGAAATCATAAGTGACCTGTAGGACAAGTATGTTTCATTGGCTAAGAAATGGAGGGATTTTCTATGGTATATATATAATGAGTATTTATGCATTTTATTCGGTAGCTCAATCTTTTTCCTAGTCAATTCTTGTGTTCTTACTGAAGTAGCTAATTAAGCGTTAGCGCGTTGTACGTTGTATCTCAGTATCAGATTTCAGACACCTCCCATTACAACAGAAACTGAACTTCGTGAAGCATTTGATGAGAAGGTTTTTTGATCAAGCTAGAAATCATCATCAGTTTCTACAATTTCTTTCATAAAAACATTTGTAACTGAAGACCAAACCTTAATGCAACATAACAGATTTGTTGGTACAGTATAAATTTTGTTTTCATCTATCTGGCTGATTCATGATATTGATATGATTTTAGACAGCAACTCAATACTAAACACTAAAATATACTCTGGCAATTAATTAATAGTCTGCAAAGAATGTAAATATATTTAGTGATGATAACTCTTCAAAAGGTGAATGAAGTACATATCATACAAAATATGCATCATTTTCCAGTAGCTTCTGATTTTGTTATTTTAGCTTATTAAGAGATTATAATTTTGAATAAGGACTTGAAAATCTTCATTAAAATGAATTGATACAGGTTATATAATCTTTCAAATACTCAATAAATCTATATTGGCACTGTTATCATCTTACTATGTATAGTTATTAGAGATGAAATAGAAAAACGTCATTAGGAAATATAGTGTATTAAAAGAATATGAAAATAATAAGTGAATGAGATGAATACAATTATATGTTATAATAAATATTACTTTTTCCCTTGGATTTATTTGATTACACTTGTAATCTAAAAATCAGAAAGATAATGGAAGGTGTTAACATTTGATAAGTGAAAAAATTACTGGAAAAAAAGGGAAAAGAGGAGAAAAAAACAAATACTGAAACATTTTTTCTTATTTGTTCACAACTTTACTGTAACAAAACACCTTTCTATTGTTGTGAGAATGATTCGGCGACGGCAGCGGGGGGGGGTGAGTTAAAAATCAATAGTTAATCCTTTTCCAGTTATAATCATATTCTATGCTCTTTAATATCATGTGATGAATTAAATTCTTTCAGTAATGCAACAACAAAAATGGCTAATAATGAAAACAACCTCTAAGAACATTAATATCATAAATTAAAATTAATACACCTATTAGTTGAAATTTTGAGTAACTTGTGTTAAGATAAACTAAATAGACGATGGGATTGAATGACCTTTTTGTAATCTCACCTGTGTGGCATTTTTTTCTTTAATTTAGTTAGTTATGACTAGACTATGTGATATCATGAAATATCATATTTATGTATACATTATTATTGACCCTTAATTGATCCTATATATACTACAATTATTGACAGATCTAAAAGAAATTAAATTCAGTTGAAATTTCTGATCATATATACTATTTTGTTAGGTCATTTCCTTTTGGCATTTTATTAAGTATTTTCAAAGTTTTTCTTTATTCTTCTCAATACTTTTTGATGTAATAGTTCAATGTTTGATTGAAATCATCTAAAGATATGTATTTAACAAGGGAGAATAGTGAAGATCAGTCTGGATTCATAAATTTCACCACATATTCTCTGAACTATAATTCATTCAACAATTTCTTTAATCTTGACATGAACATAAACTTTTCATTTTTAAATGCTAGGTTTTTTCGATCAACAACTGAATCATTATTGGTTTATTATCCAGAGAGGTTTCGAATTGTGTTCACATTATTATTATTGCTCTTATTATTATTATCCTTATATCCTCTTACCCCATTTCCAGTCTAGTTGACCTTTTATTTTTATATATAAGTGTCCTTAACAAGTATATGTGTGATCAGATTGTTCGAAATGTATTTCGCTAATATATCACATAGTTCTGATTATCTTCGTCTTCTTATTACATTATCGAAATTTATTAAAGGACTAATTGGTTTGAATCATTATAACATTTTTTTAAAAAAAAGCTACCCACATCCATCCACGAATTCAATCCCACAAATATATAATGATGCATTGAAGTAATCAGTGTTTTTCCATAAAACATTGTGGTTTGTATGTTAATGATCATATATTCTATGATAAATAGTTTGAATAATGTACCACAAGTTTTCACCATTCCATTGAAGTTTTAATAATCCTATAACTGCACATGTTACGAAAAATACAATCGCTGTGGTCATGAGCATGAGGCTTATGCTTGGAGCGTGTATTACTGAGAGAAGAGCTAGAAAATATGAGACATGTTAAAAAAGAAAAAAAAAACATGATAGAATGAGGGTACAAAAGAAATGTACAAATAATACGAACAGACTTTTACATATTAAACACTTTAAGGCTAACTTATATTTTTCTCAAGCTGTTTTTCAGCATTTTAATCAGGATTAACTTTTATTGAAAACAACGTCTTTGGTCTTCATAAAATACGCGAAAGCTATAACTTTTAGATAATAATAATTTTCAAGAGTGAGTAATATGTAAGAATCGGTCTCTGAAGTAACTGTAGTTCTTTCAACTTAACTACAGTGGCACTGAAAACCAGCTGAACTTGAAGATTAATTTGTCATTATGTTTGCCTGATAGAAAAGATAGACACTGTGAAGTAATAACACAATTTTTTTTACACCGTTTTGGGCCTAAAATAAAACGGATAAAGTAAAGGAGCGGATAACACGTCAATTTTCAATTTATTGAAAAATAACAAAAGAAATCTATAATGTCCTTTGAAAAGAATGAAGATGATTCCATGAAGATCTTTTTCGATTATTTCATTTACTTCAGATATACAGTCGTATTTAAAGTTAATTTGTTCTCTTAGAATGGTAGTCTATAGTAAAATAGAATGCTGTTGAGTAATTAAAAAGAACTGAAATGCTATCTTGAACTCTGAATCAGTGATTTGAGGTGATGCACTCTCCACTAGAGCTGATTGTTATGATTTCTATCCTGTATGGAATCGCTGGTGTCCATAGTCGACAGATCTGAAACTAGTACCCCCTCATTTTCAATGAAATCAAATGATTTCAAATTAAGCTAATTTCTATAAACTCCACAACTTGACCATTCTATCTATATTTATCAATTATAAGTATGCCTGTAAAGCATTTATTAGAATTTGCAACAAAGTAAACTCCTTTTATCACATGATATATCTATAATTTTTTAATGTTTCACTGATGAAACGAACTTGAATTATACTCTCAGTGTAACGAGAATGGAAATAATAAACATACTATGATATTATCTACCATTTACTTAAAATCTACTAATCTGAAGTACATTAAATGATTTGTAAATGATTGAAAATTTCATAATTTTATACATTTTAATTACTGTTTTATTTTTATTCACTTCATACTGTAGATTATTATACAGTAAGTGATCTATTTTTATCTGAATGATGTGTATATTTACTGCAGCAAATCAACTTTTTTGTTTGTAAAAGTAATAACAATAGTTGGTCATAATTTTGCTAAAGGAAGGTCAGATGCTTTTTTCGAAAAAAGCATTCTTTTTTTGGAGATAAAACAATCCTGATTCAAGAGTGTACAGATGAATTATTTTGCATTGATTCATTGTTTTTTTTTGGTATTTACGATTACCTTAATACCCTGCTTTATGTATTCTCAGTAATAACACTAAATCAATGCTATTTTTCACACTGATAGCATGTTTCGCTGTACTGGCATTTTATTCTAATCGACCTAAAGAAGTGTACTACTTATTATGGGATAAGAGGCTTTTTTCAGCAAAATGATCAGCTAGAGAGAAATTTTAGGAATGAGAAATAGAATTAACCCTAAGGACCGATAGTTTTTAGTGACAAAGTAGTTGAATACCCATTTATTTGAGGATCCCAGTACTAGTGTCAAATTAACGATGCTTCAAAATGTAAACAAGCATCAGTAAATAATGTGATTCCTTTCTTGATATCTAAAGCATCTAGTCATTGGATGCTTTTGAAGTACTTCTTGTCCACATAGACTTAAAATTTTTCCGCCTGAGCACTTTAACCGTATGAATCAATTGAGTCCATGAATGTCATTGATAAGTTTAGGTTTACACAAGCGAAATTGACACCTGAAACTTTGGAACACACCCTCGATCCTGCTAGTAAACATAGATGACATCCAAAAACCGGAGTTCAGAATGATGAATATCATGGAGAGAAACAAGCATGATAAAAAGATGTCATAATTATAGTTCTAGATATATATAATTTGATTTTGGTTTCTTTCTTACTCCGAATAATGGTGCTATTGACAAACTGGTTAGTTAAATCAGTTAATCACTGGTTAGTAAGTGGTACCGAGTTATTTAGCCCTAATTTATCTAATTTAGAACATATAATTAAACTGAACTTAAGCAGACAAATATGGTAAACATTAAAGAAATAGATATTTAGTCAAGGAAACAGGTGTAGGGTAAACAAATTACAAATCACTAGATGTCCTACAACCAATATAGGACAAATGGTAAATTTATATATAGTATTCTGTTATCAATTTTCAAGCATATTACTTATTGTTGAGGATAAAGTCGCATAGGCTGGTTTTTCCTATACACCCAAGACCATTGATCAGTGAATTAATGGTGTAATGTTGTATTTTCGTCTAATTATCCTTGATCTCTTAGAAATCTTTATCCAACTAATTTACAAGATATATATTAGTGCACTTGACTTTGACAGTTATCTCAAATTCTATCTACAGTTTGATCTGAAGATAGTTTAAGCCACAGACTAACTTTACATAAATACACATTAAAAACCGAATTAAAGTAGCATATGTTGTGGCTCCAATAGGCTGCACCAACGGTTCTTATCCTCAAGGATCAAAATCAGAACTTTCAGGATTCACAACGAATGATTTTATCTTTTTAAAAATATTTCACTTGACTACCAACCATCTAGAAATCTTTCTAGTTTAGAAATGGTGTGCTCTAGGGATTAGAAGTTTTCTAAAACTTCCAGTTATGAAACCTTGAAATATAAGTTGTATCTTTTTGCTACCAAATTATGTTCATACACCATTTTTAACAAACTGACAGAGTAATTAGTCCATGTGTAAATGACTTAAAATAATGGGCATGTCTTAATGATTTTTATCTAGCTGAAAATTCTTCAATAGTGAATCCTCGAGTTCATCTAAAATATACTGTAATAGTTTAACTAGTTTGATTTGAGTTTAACAATCAGGCATAAATCTACCTAAACAGTGAATTTTAAGTCCATACTATAATATACAGTTAAACATTTTATTATTAACGCCCCTGATACAATATCTTTTTGTAACAATGATACTAACTGACTGTACAAAAAGAGATTATGGGTTCGATATGTTTTAGATAAGTAAGTGGGTAGTTAGAAAACCATGATATTTTTGCTAGAGTGAAAGCTACAAAACGTCGTATGATTTATGTCAAAAAGGTTTGCTATCTCTGAAAACCTCACATTAGTCTTAATTAGACCCATTCCAACTGTTTTACAGAATCAGTAATGTTGAGACAGGTTATGTCACAGACCTGTTTCAAGCAGAGGATCACAAGAATATATAAAAGTTCCATCAAGACAACTGATGTCAATTCTGAAAGGCGTTAATTTTATCTAAGTGCAAAATCAATTGACATTTGTTGGAAAATCTTACATGTACACCAGATAGCTGTTTACTCTTAATACACAAATCCATTATGGTAAATGCATTAATTTTTGATTAGATGAAATCATAATATTCAGGTTTTGTAGAAAAGAGATTCCTGTATTTTTTTAAATCCAGGTAACCATAGTGAATTAAGTAAATAATTAATCTTAAACAATATTTCTTAGTCAAATATCTAATTGACCATGTGATCCGCAAAAATCATTATTCATTTATATTAAAAACTAAATTAATCAAATTGAGTTCAGAATATTCAACTGTTCATAGCTCTCAAATATCATCTATGAAACTGATAACCATGTGAATCAGATTAAAAATGAAAATGATCATCAAACTGTTGATTATCTGAAATATTTATTGATCAAAAGAAAAAGTAAAAGAGTTACTTAGTAGTTGAGTTCATGAACAAATTGAAGATAGACCATCATGGAAAACCTGCAAGGGACTTTTCAGCAATGTGCATCCACAATTCCTCCATGTGGGATAGGAACACAGGACCTACCAGTCTCCCTCATGTATGCTTAACCTCTAAACCACTGAACCGACATCCAACGATGTTGATATCTAACTTCAACCAATCCACGAAATTGAACCGCCCTCCAGGGCTTCCAGGTTTTCCATGGTGGTCTAGCTTCAATTAACTCATGAACTGAACTATTAAATCACTTTAATATCCACAAAACCCCTTTCTGATAGTAAAATAGTTGTTAATTTACAATAAGTTGATTAGATTACTGCTTACCATTAATTTCATCTTTACCCATTATTATTTTCCGCGTTTAATTTACAAAATTAGTTCCGTCAAATATCCACAACAAAAAAAGAACTGGTATTAGAAACCGATATTTTAATTGTTTGACAAAGTATTTCAAAAGATGTCAATTAATTTATTAATGAAGGTCTGGAGCATTTGTTAATTGACTTAGATGTTATGTGTGAAACTTTAAGCTCAGTTTATATAAATTGCCTTAGTCTAGAAAAAATCAATAATCTTTCAGGTTATATTTTGATTGGTAAGTGGTGACTTTTGTATATCACATGTACAGTATATGTGAGCATTAATTTGTAACTATAACATGTACATGAAACAAAAATACATTAGAGTAGTTCAGGTCTTTTGATTAACTTTTAAGTGAATTTAATTTATGACAAAAAATGGCAATTTTTGTCAACGAAAATAAAATAGAATTTCTTAAATTACGATATACAAATTCAGACTAATATATGACAATATTGATATAAACAGACAAAAGGGAGGGTAAAATTATTGACATTTATGGAAGAGAAGAAACTATCATTCTGTTACTAAAAATCTAGTTAGAATCTGGTATATCTAGAAGTAGAGATGGGTTTTGTGGATGTTATAGTAATTTAGTAGTTGAGTTTATGAGTCACTTGGAGCTAGACCACCATGGAAAACCAGGAACCACTGGACGGCCGTTTCATCCTAGTATGGGACTCCTCAGCGGTGCGCATACACGATCCCACTTCGCGAGATTCGAACACACGACCTATCTGTCTCGTGTGCGAATGTTTAACTTCTAGACCACTGAGCCAGCATCCAACGATGTTAATGTCTAACGTCAACCAATCCATGAAGTTGTGCCACCGTCCACTATTGTCATTAGTGAGTTACTATCTTACAGCAGATCCGGTCGGACCTCACTATTCACTGCTTTGAACTCATGAGTCAATTGTAGTTAGACCGCCATGAAAAACCTGGAAACACTGGACGACCGTTTTATCAATTGCTTGAAAGAAAATTCTTGTAGAAATTTTTCTCTTTATATCATTAGCAGCTGTGTTCTATATTGAGTGATATATTTAATGAAATAATACTAAATATCTTCTTCATGAATGCTAAATAAATAGTTATATTTTGAATAATGATCATTAAATAGAATAATATATTTCAACACATGATCGAAACTGACAATGAAATTATCACTTCAGCTTTATCATCAAGAAATGTATGTTTTTCTACATTATACATTTATAATTCAGTAAAATAGGTAGATTAACTGATGCATTAGTGTTAACTCAATTTTCAATTTTTATAGATGAATTAACTAGAATTTTCAATTAATATACCTATTAGATTTACAACTAAATGATACTTATTTTTAACAATTCATGATAGGTATTACATATACGGAGATAAGTTAGACAGCATTATGCTTCAACACTATTGACAGATTTTACCTTGAGATCTAACATTAACACATGTTTTGGATTTACCACTTGAATTACATTCATTCACATAGATACGTTTAATTTATTTCTATAGTTTAGACTTCTCTAGAATTTTTCAGATATTTTACATTGTCTTAGAAGTTAAATCCCTATAGTTATATAAATAATTTCAGTTCTCACATAAACTATTTATAACTGAATGGTGATGTAATTCTAGACTAAAAAGTGAAAATTTCTAATGTGTTTCTCTCGATATCAAATGAAGTGACATGTCCATTAATTATATTGACTAAAGAAGTTGATAAATAAGCTTAAGACTTGTTCATGATTTAATCAATAATCACTTTGTTAAAATAGAAACAAAATTGACCTGATTTTACTTAAATAAGTAGTAAATTTAATACTCACATGATTTCCGATATATTTCTTTAATCGCTAATTACCGGATTATATAAGGCTTTTTAGCCTATATTTCACTTTAGGATATCAATAAATTCTGTGAGCTAAAAGGTGGACTGAGAATATGTGAATAATTTTCATACATTGAATTGATAAATGAATATTTTAACCCATACGAATGATGCATACCTGTTATCTGAAGAGTTGCTTTTATAGCACACTAATCTAGTAGATGACGCTTTAATATTCTAAAGATATGCATTATAAATATGAATGTTATGGTGATTCGGAAATTTCACTTATATAGAAGTGAATTTGACTTCTGAGTTAAGAAAAAGGAATGAAACACTTTAAGAGGTTATACTGTGGTGTGTGTTACTGATGTCGACAGATATAAGTAGTACGTATCATCAATCGAAAGTGAAATGTCTGGTGGAAGAGGGTTAAGAAGATCAAGGAAAAGAGAACGAGAACAGGAAGTGATTTGTAGAAAAATTAAGGAACAGTCAAGTCTGAAACAATTTATTGTTATTTTGCAAATGACGTATTTACTATATGGTTCTCAGATCTTACTATGACGTACATCCGATTGTCCTCACATGTGTTCTCGTTCACTACAATATCTGTTAGACTTAGCTTATGTTATATGAAATTGTTTTGATACATTTTTGTTATTTTCTATTTTTCGTTTCATTTAACAGAAAAATGATTGTTTTCCAGTTATTAAATTTAAAAATTAACAAATAAAGTCTAAACTTTAAAAACATTCTATTAATTTTTGGTTTTAGATAAAAAAGTTTGTGAAGATTTTTTCATCCTTTGAAAATGACTTTAGTCATAAACTAACGCTAAAGTGTAGATTTAGACTGAAATCAATATAATTATCTTGTTTGACTAATAGTCGCGATTCAGTAGAGTTAACTGGAGTGATATAACTGCTTAACTTACATAATTTTACACTGATGCTACATAATATTATGAAACCTCACCCAGGTCCATCCCGTCCTAGCCGCCTATTCCTTTAGTATATTCTGAAATGAAGTTCTACCAGGCAATTATATTTTAGAGTCTAGATTGAAGTAAAAAGAGGTAAACAGGTTATAACAAAGCCACAGAATTTGGAGGTTTTATACAATCAACTGATTAATCAGTATTAATCCCGATTTATATTGATGAGTCGCAATAAACCATCTAGCATTTAGTGATCACTTTTCCAAGGTAAGGGTACATTTACCAGTATTGTTTAGTTTAATCTAAAACCCACATAATCACTGCAGAACGGTGGACGTTTAATACCTGTTTAGCCTTAATTTAGGACCGCCCAGTAGTGAGTACTCAAAATTACATACCTACAGGTTTTGTAGCAACCATGATAAAAACAAAATAAATTTCCGGTACAACCTAATTTACTCTTTGACCAACTTCAGTTCATAACAATATCATCAAAATTATATAAGACTATTTAAATATTCCTGAAAAATCTGATAAGTAATTTATTAATCCCAAGATCAATAATAAAATCTAAAAGTAAGCACTTCAGGATGAACATGTTTCTTTTACACTATTTACACTTAATTTCTTATGACTACGGCTTATGAAGTTTTCTTTTTAAATTTGATCTGCTCTTTTACTTAATCTTTACGTTGATTGCATCAGAAAATTATAGTGACTGATAGCAACCTATAAACAATCACTTTTAACTTGTGGATTTAAAAACGTTTGAAGAAGTTTACGATAGGAAATCAACATGTTTTATGACTGACAGATGATTTGTGCAAATGATATTCACATAACTTTAAATATCGTAATCTCATTCAACAGATAATTTGTGTATCGACTAGTACTCGTTATCACTATGATCTTTCTATAGTTGATAAGCACAACTAAGTGAAACAGTCACTAGTGTAATCTGTTTAGGAAGGCTGTATGGTAGTGTTCCTTAAAATAAACTGAAGTTACTCGGAAGTTATTCGTAACTTAAAATTCGCTTTATAGAAACATTTAGTTTTTCATGCCTCATAGTCTACAAAAAGACCAAAGTCTGAATTCATATGTTTGTCACCTATTCCTACTAGCAACTATATTTATACGAAGCCATAAATATGACTAATGAAAATATTCAAATATTTTTGTGAATATTTCAATAAACTGTTATCAAATCAATATGATAGACAAATGCGGAGTTCATAAAATGCTGTAGTAACAAATAAACTCTTCATGCATTGGGGTGGATATATTGATTTTTCAACATTATGAATATTTCTTTAGTATCATAGACTGTAAATTCGAATCTTAATGTAATAAAAATGCTCTTAGCTAATAAATCTTAAATTAAGCGAAATATTTTAAATTCAAATCTAAATAATTATGATTAAATGGTATTAGATTTATTTACTTCTAAGTACCTGTTAATTCGACTGCAGCCATGAAACAATCACACTTCAGATAGATCCTCTCGGACTATTACACGAAATTCAGAACGCTGTAACGGTTAATAAATTCACTTGACATTGTTTACTTGAGTCTTCCCATTGATTTTTAGGACTGCACTTGATCAGTCTCTTATTGGCATATGTGCATACTGTGCGTATTGCCTCGATATTGCCTTAATTCATAAGCATTATAAGCAAAGATGGATAATGCCTTGCAGTGAAATCCAGGACGCGTGTTTCGTCATATTTGATAACGCGATGGAGTTTGAGGCGAATGGTACTGGATTCCAGTCCAAGAGTGAACTTCAACTCTGAGATGCAGGTACATTCAGCTGACTAGTTTCAAGCAGAACAAAACGCGCGTCTCGGATTACACTGATAACCACTATCCATTTCTGCTTATAATTCTGTAACAGTTAGTTTGCACCTTTTTTAAACCAAGTAAAACCCATCAAAAATTATAAAAAATGATGACGAGTTTTAGAAATTACTTACTCATATTGTTGTCATCTAACTCTATATGGCTTACTCTAGAATAAACAAATATCTTGTAGGAGATAATGATTTTCTTATAAAACCACTAACGTCCATTAAAAACACTGAGTATAAAACCTTCAGATTGAATACATTGGCATTCAGATAAATGTGGTTATGTACCGATATCACTACAATAATAAGATTGGAAATCAGTTAATAAGTCCTGTAAGACTAATAAAACTCATAAAACTACTAAACTCTAACAGGTTTATTTCTATTGAGAAATAATTCTGGCTCATGCAAACTATCTGTCAATAAAATGATAAGCGGCTTTAAAATCACAAGATCAGTTTAATAATCTCTCAAGACCACCTCGACACAATTCCTTGACCCGAATATTTGGTTTCTAAGATGTTTAAATTTGA